GTTGTGTTTGTGTGTGTGTGTGTGTGTATGTATGAGAGAATGTGTGTGTGTGTGTGTGTGTGTGTGTGTGTGTCCATCTGCCTGCTGCAGGACTCTATAGAGATCAATAATTAAACACGGCTAATGGGCTGCGAGCTGCAGGGACATCTGTCTGACTGTGTGTGTGTGTGTGTGTGTGTGTGTGTGTGTGTGAGTGTGTGTGTGTGTGAGTGTGTGTGTCTGACTTGTGTGTGTGTGTGTGTGTGTGTGTGTGTGTGTCTGACTGTGTGTGTGTGTGTGTGTGTGTGTGTGTGTGTGTGTGTGAGAGAGAGTGTGTGTGTGTGTGTGTGTGTGTGTGTGTGTGCAGTCAGACTGAGCATGCTCAGTGCAGCTGTATCATAACGAGGTCAGAGCCTCAGTTTGACCTGCTGACCTCCAGAAACACGACGTCGGCAGAGATCATGTTTAAATATTAAAGCGACTGGTGCTGGTGAGACTTTAACTTTCTTATGTTCAACAAATGAACCACATCAATCAGAGGAATTATAATAATAATATAAAATAAAATAATAATACTTGTCCTCTACAATCAAAGGTATTTTTAATTATAACTTATAATTTGTAGCATAAACACAAGTTTTTAAGTTGATTAGACTAAAATGAATTGAATCTGTTTTATCTTGCAACCGTGTATTCATTTATGACAACAGGTAAAATATTTACAGGAAAAATATCAAATATAAACTTATCACAGATGTTGTATAAAAGTATAGTCACATATTTTATTGTGCTTAAATAAATAATTTATCAAATTCAGGTTATTTTCCTCTTTTGTGAAACATTTTATGGAAACATTAGTAGTTTCATTAACAGCGTTATAGATTGAGACTGATTTCATATTATTATATTCATATTATCAGTTGTTGGTGGGTTGTAGTTGACCTTTGTCCCTTTGGGGTCTTTGGACTAAAACCCACAAAAAAAAAAAAAAAAAAAAAAAAAAAAAAAAAAAAAAAAAAAAAAAAAAAAAAAAAAAAAAAAAAAAAAAAAAAAAAAAAAAAAAAAAAAAAAAAAAAAGAGTCCAACACAGAGTCCATTCAATTCAATTTTATTTTTATAGCACCAAAGTCAAAGCTAACATTAATGCTAAGCTAGTGGAACATATTGTCTGATTGTGCTTTTAGCTGGATAACGTTAGCTTGGTTGCTAATACGAATATTACTAGCTAATGTAGCAATCAGTCAGTTAGCTTATCCAGACTCCATGATATCATAATGTTATTCAATCTGACTGGCTAGCATTAGCTTGCTAGCATTAGCTTGCTTGCTCACTAATGTTATTGCTAGCAAAATACTGTCGTATATGTTAGTTGGCTACTGTTAGCTTCCCCAGCTAACGCGATCCATGATACTAACTGATGAATCCTGATGCTAGCCAACAATAAATTATGCTAACAGCACAAAGCTAACGATAGCTTTCTGCTAGCTGAGAGTGATGTGAGGCGGGAGCATCCAGCTAGCTAACTGTGGCTAAGCTAACTGGGGTTGTCTGTCTGTCTGCCAATAAAACAATAAAATATAAAGATTAGAAAGAAGATGGTGCAGTTCACCGAAAGGCCACTGGTGGCGCTGTTAGCTACAGGTACATGTAGAGGGGGGGGGGGGGGTTACTAATGAACCAGCTTTAAAATGTCTCAGGTGCAGATGTACCTTACCTGTGGCTGTGTAACACCTGTACCTGACTGCCCTCCCCCAGCAGCAGCCCTCCAGCCATTGTTATGTGTGGAGTCTCTTCTCTGATGCGTCCGACTCAAAGACATTAACGCTGTAATGAGAGTGTGTCTGACCCTCAGTTATATTCTTCCTCTATTCAACAAAACAAACTCTTCTCTGTACTTTTACATCAATATTCAATCTTTGTGTCTCCCTGTGAAACTAAATGTGACGCGTGTTTACGTCAGCATGAACCAACCAATAATATCCTGATACTCACCCGTCAATCAATCTGCAGCTGTTAGCGACACAGAGCGAACATTCATTAAGATTCACAGAGCTCACTGATTACTGTACAAACACACAACTAACCAACATTTTACAGAAAATTAAAACTGTACTTTAATGAAAGACAATTTTTTACGAGTAGTTCTCAGTTATGTTACGGGTTATGTTTGGTTTTTTACGAGTAGTTCTCAGTTATGTTACGGGTTATGTTTGGTTTTTTACGAGTAGTTCTCAGTTATGTTACGGGTTATGTTTGGTTTTTTACGAGTAGTTCTCAGTTATGTTACGGGTTATGTTTGGTTTTTTACGAGTAGTTCTCAGTTATGTTACGGGTTATGTTTGGCGCTGCAGCTGCTGGATTATCGGCGTTCTTGGTTTATCAGTGGTAGAGTTTAGTGAAGGGAACCCCTGTGGCAGCAGCTGGTACTGCACCCCCCACCCCCCCGCAGGAGGTTTTCCAGGAAATAAGAGTCAGTTAGAGGAGGAGAAGGAGGTCTGGAGGAAGAGGGGAACAGAGGAGGTCTGTTGGAGGAGGAGCAGCAGGGTTTTTGAGCCCCTCGCTGTTTCAGCTTGTTCTTTCAAACAGAATTCCAGCTGTAAACGCGGAGCCTCGGGCTACAGGCTCGTAAAGCTGCACAGACGCCTTTAAAAAGCCCGAGCGAGGGTGTGTGAGCACAAACATCAGATACACACATCAGGACGCGACAGCTGGAGCTGCTTCTCTAAATGTTTATCCATATCTGCTGGTCTCAGGCCTGCTGCAGCGCCTCCACTAACACAGGACCTGATGGTGATAGAGTCCTGATAACACAGAATAACAGAGCAGGTGGAGGTGGAGAAGAGTTGTTTTTAATCCTTCCACCAAAAGAAAAAGAGTCTGTAAATAATAATAAATAATAATATTACAGGTGGTTGTTTATGAGTTTACAGCTCAGCTGCATTCACAATAAACAGTAGAGAGTTTACAGGAGCAGCAGCAGGCTGCGAACTACAGGGGGCGCTAACAGGAGTCTGTAAAATAATAACAATAATAATAATCATTTTAATAATAATAATAATAATAATGATATTAATAATAGTAATAATGATATTAATAATAGTAATAATAATATAGTTATAATAATAATGATTAATAATAATAATAACAATAGTTATAATAATAATATTAATAATAATAATTCACTGCAGCTTTTGTAGTAAATTGTGATGTTCTTCAGATCTGTGAATATGAATGTTTTTAAATCCGATATCTATAATTTCTTTAAATATGATTTTTCAAAATAATGGTAATTTTAAGAAAAATAAACAAAAACATTTAATTACATTTAAAGGCAAATCACAAACAGGCTCATAAAAACAAAGTTATTCCAATGTTTGAACACGATCCAATGTTTTTATTTCTGCACATTTTTATTATATAAAACCTAATTTACATATTGAAACATAAAACTTCAGAAAACTTTGATTAAATAAAATAATGAATGTAATTAACGGGAGAAGTTTGATGGTGAAATCTCTTTAAATCATTCAGACTGCAGGAGGTTGTTTAAATGTTGCTGCTGCACCACAAACAGTAAATAACACACCTGAAACATCTGGAAACAAACAGCCAACCATGTTTTATTGATTTATTCATATAAATATAAATATTGATATTGATAATGTATAAAAGGAATCAATACCTCTGCTCTAATAATAATAATAAACAATAACTATACAGCACAGTTACAAAGTGCCTCAAATGCAAACCAGACAATGAAAATCAAACAGAAGTCGATCAGTAAAATAAATATTAACAATAATAAAGAATAAAATCTGCCCATTCGTCCTCCACCGAGGTTTCTCCTTCGCGATTGGAAGAGAGGGTGAATCGAAAGAGTTGTAAGTTCAGTTCTTTACCGACTGTATTTCAACTTTTCTTTACAAGCCGATAAAACCTCGCGACCTCCTCGTGACGCTTTGGTGACCCCTAGTGGAACCACCGATATAAAGCACTTAATAATCAATAAAGTTTCTTTAACATTGCAACATGCAGAGTTTTAAAGAAAAGCTGCGGTGAAATAGATATAGATACATAGATATATATGTGATAGATATATAGATATAGATATATATTATATATATATAATATTATATATATATATAATCTCACACAGACACCTCGAGGTGATAATCACTGATCTCTGTCATCTTCATGTAATGTCATACATCAGACATTATGTCCTTGCTGGGCGATCGATAGAGAGAGAGAGAGAGAGAGAGAGAGAGAGAGAGAGAGAGAGAGAGAGAGAGAGAGAGAGAGAGAGAGAGAGAGAGAGAGAGAGAGAGAGAGAGAGAGAGAGAGAGAGAGAGAGAGAGAGACAGAGAGAGAGAGAGAGAGAGACAGAGAGAGAGAGAGACAGAGAGAGAGAGAGAGAGAGAGAGAGAGAGAGAGAGAGAGAGAGAGAGAGAGAGAGAGAGAGAGAGAGAGACAGAGAGAGAGAGAGAGAGAGAGAGAGAGAGAGAGAGAGACAGAGAGAGAGAGAGACACAGAGAGAGAGACAGAGAGAGAGAGAGAGAGAGAGAGATAGTGAGACAGAGAGAGAGAGACAGAGAGAGAGAGAGAGAGAGAGAGAGAGAGAGAGAGAGAGAGAGAGAGAGAGAGAGAGACAGAGAGAGAGAGAGGAGAGAGAGAGAGAGACAGAGAGAGAGACAGAGAGAGAGAGAGACAGAGAGACAGAGAGACAGAGAGAGAGAGAGACAGAGAGAGAGAGAGACAGAGAGACAGAGAGAGAGAGAGAGAGGAAGTGAGAGCAGAGGAAGGAGGGGCAGAGAGAGAGACAGTGAAGTCAAGCTGTGGTGTCATGTGACCTGTGTATGAAGCGTCTCATTGGCTGTTGGTCATTAAATAGGACAAATGGATGCTGATATTATCTATAATAATAATAATGCACTTTAACTACTTTATATTCACTTTTATTTAAAGGTACAGGGTGCACTCTCTGCCACTAGGGGGCTCTCTCACATCCAAACAGTAAGATCATAAAGTGTGATGAGGTGGTGAAGCAGCGTGGGATCATGGGAGTTGTTGTCTTCACCACCATTGGCGGTTAGGGTTCCTTCAGGAGGTTTCTACCGGGAGGATGCTAACGGACTGAGGCCTAAAGCTAACTGTACTGTGAGTGAGTACAATGTGTGTACAACGAGAACACAGAGAAATAAAACTACTAATTACACAGAAAATAACATAAAACCATCAGATGGAGAGAAATGGAAGAATAATGAAGGAATATCTGAGTAGACATTAAATAATATACAGTCTGTACAGGTGAGTTAGTTTGAACCCATCTTAGGTTGTCAGTTAGCATTATATAGCTAACCTTTAGAGTTTCACACCTGTGTGGAGCTGTGTGATTCTGTTATTATAATCAGAGACCTTCAAAATAAAGACTTTATTGTGAAAGTTTCCAGGTATAATGACTTTATTGTGAAAGTTTCCCATTATAGTGACTTTATTGTGAAAGTTTCCAGGTATAATGACTTTATTGTGAAAGTTTCCCATTATAGAGACTTTATTGTGAAAGTTTCCCATTATAGTGACTTTATTGTGAAAGTTTCCAGGTATAATGACTTTATTGTGAAAGTTTCCCATTATAGTGACTCTATTGTGAAAGTTTCCCATTAAAGTGACTTTATTGTGAAAGTTTCCCAGTATAAAGACTTTATTGTGAAAGTTTCCCAGTATAAAGACTTTATTGTGAAAGTTTCCCATTACAGTGACTTTATTGTGAAAGTTTCCCATTACAGTGACTTTATTGTGAAAGTTTCCCATTACAGTGACTTTATTATGAAAGTTTCCCATTATAGTGACTTTATTGTGAAAGTTTCCCATTATAAAGACTTTACTGTGAAAGTTTCCCAGTGTAAAGACTTTATTGTGAAAGTTTCCCAGTATAAAGACTTTATTGTGAAAGTTTCCCATTATAGTGACTGTATTGTGAAAGTTTCCCAGTATAATGACTTTATTGTGAAAGTTTCCAGGTATAAAGACTTTATTGTGAAAGTTTCCCATTATAAAGACTTTATTGTGAAAGTTTTCCCATTATAAAGACTTTATTGTGAAAGTTTCCAGGTATAATGACTTTATTGTGAAAGTTTCCCATTATAGTGACTTTATTGTGAAAGTATAAAGACTTCCTGCTCTGTGTGGACTGGTTGCTGACAGAGGAAGTGATGGCCCCGCTGCTCTTCCTCTGGTGCCAGATGACGAAGGTTAAACACTCTCACCACACTGAGCACATGATCAATGCAGAGGACCGAAGCTACGCTACAACCCCATCACTGATTCATACATTAAATAATACGGACATTACTCACAGGAGGAAGCTTCATCTCCTCCTCTTCCTCCAGACAACATCTCAGACACCTTCACCCTTCATCTCCTCTGGTCCACATCAACGAGTTCACTGCAGTCAGAACAACAACAACAACAACAACAACAACAACAACAACAACGTCTTCTTCTTCCATCAAACTGTGTTAATAAACAACTTTATAGTATAATAATATTAATACTATATATTATATATATATATATTTATATTAATATTATATACATATTAATATAAATATAATATTAATATATATATAATATTAATATATATTATATATTAATATAGAAAATAGATGATATATTATATATTAATATTAATGTATAATATTATATATTAATAATAATATATAATATTAATATTATTATTAATAATTATGTTAATATTAATATCATAGATTATATATTAACATTATATTATATTAATATTACTCTTTTACTTAGTGTTGTTATTCTGGTGCAGCGGTTTGGACTAGCTTAGCTACAACACAGCCGCTAGCTTAGCTTCAAACAGGTAACATACAGAAAATGTAACAAACAGCGTGAATGTGCTTCTAGTGCCCCGTTAGCCCCGTTAGCTCTGTTAGCCACTGTTAGCCCCGTTTGCTCTGTTAGCTCTGTTAGCCACTGTTAGGTACAAGCTCACTGTTAGCTCTGTTAGCTCTGTTAGCCACTGTTAGCTCTGTTAGCTCTGTTAGCCACTGTTAGCTCTGTTAGCTCTGTTAGCCACTGTTAGCTCTGTTAGCCACTGTTAGCTCTGTTAGCCACTGTTAGCTCTGTTAGCTCTGTTAGCTCTGTTAGCTCTGTTAGCTCTGTTAGCTCTGTTAGCCACTGTTAGCTCTGTTAGCTCTGTTAGCTCTGTTAGCTCTGTTAGCCACTGTTAGCCCCGTTAGCTCACTGTTGCTGCTGTGGCCAATCACTATTCAGTTCATGTTTTTATCGGTTTGACGTCGCTGTAGAGTTCAGTAAAGGTATAATGCATTGTGGGTAATTTTAAAGCCTATTTTGGTGTAATAATATTACAACATTAGTAACTGAAGATTATATAATATAACAGTAATAATACGTATCAGTAATTATTATATTTAGCAGTAATGTATTTTAATATCTTTTATTTTGTGAAATGGGTACGAATATATTTTACCTAATGTATCTGTTTTATTTTTTATTTTATTTATTGTGTTTTGTTTTTAATGCCACACTGCATTTCATGTATGAAACGGCTATATAAATAAAGTTATCATTATTATTATTATCATTGTTGTTATTATTACTACTACTATTATTATTGTTATTATTATTGTTATATTTTAATTATTATTATTTTTTTTATTATTTTAATTATTATTATTATTATTATTGATGTTATTATTGGTATTATTATTATTTTAATTATTATGATTGATATTTTAAATATTATTATTTGAATTATTATTATTTTATTATTATTATTATTATTATTGATGTTATTATTGTTGTTATTATTACTACTACTATTATTATTGTTATTATTATTTTAATTATTTTAATTATTATTATTATTATTATTGTTATTATTTTATTATTATTATTATTATTATTATTGTTGTTGTTATCAGTATTATTATTGGTATTATTATTATTGTTATTATTATTATTATGGTTATTATTGATGAGTGTCTCCGTGGACAGCAGTGTAGTCCTGTAGACTGGCTTTATCCCTGCAGGGTGAGCTGCAGCAGCCTGGATTAACTATAAACCTGGATTAGTGTCAACGCTCCAAATGTTTAAACTCCACTTTAACCAGCTGAGTCTGACTCTCTGTCTGTTTACTCGGCGTCTGCGGTGCCGGATTACATCATTTAAGCATTTACAGATATTTACCTTTGATTCAGAGGAGTTCACTGTAAATGATACTCTGACACATCAGACACCTTCACACTGCTTCACTGTGGATTATATACTCGATATGTCCTCCTGCTGCTGCTGTGAGTTCAATGTACTCTCTGTAGTCTCTCTCGCATCCAAACAATAAGAAAATATAAAGCGTGATGGTGGTGAAGCAGTGTGGGATCATGGGAGTTGTTGTCTTCACCACCATTGGCGTCATTGCAGTCAGCTTCTCCCGGTTAGGATTCCTTCAGTGTTCATGGTTCAGGAGGTTTCTACCGGGAGCCCAATGATCCACAGAGGTCTCCTCCTCTCCAACACAAACAGACCCGCTGATTAAAACCACTAAACACACTGAATAAAGCAGTTCCACCTTAACAATCACTGCTTCTCCCACGCTGTTGGACAGACAAAGGACGTCCCGGAGGGGCTGCGAGCCGAGCTGCTGCTAACGTTAGCTCAGCTTGTTTCTCTGATAAAGCTAAGCTACATTAATTGTTAGCTAGCTTATTACCAGTGAACATTAGCTCTCAGCTACGTGGCTAGCTAGTCAGGTAGCATTTAGAGCGGGCGGTAGTTCACCTGGTAGAGAGCGCCCCACCTGTAGGTTGAGTCCTTCGATAGTTCGATTCCAACAGACGGCCCTTTGCAACATGTCCTATCAAAATAAGGGCATAAAAAAAGCCTCAAATACGTCTTTAAAAACATACAGTTAGCTAGCGTTTTGCTAACATTAGCTAACTTCACATGTGAATGTGTCTCATTCCGCCTCCTTGCACACTTCAAACACTTATAGTATATAGTGTGGATAACACAGAGAGTCAGTGCACTGAAAGTACCCGGATAACAACGGTCAAACAATTCAGTGCGTAATGATGGACCCTACTCGCACTGAACGGACGCCATCTTGCCTACAAAGCGGAAGGGGAGGGACCAGGGACGTCAGCAAGTTTTCAAAAATTTGGAATAATGGCGGACAACTCAGCCGAAGCTGCGACGACAAGTTCGACACCTCAAGCGTATAAATGTAAGTAATGGTGGTAATACGAGACATTGTCGTAAGTGTTCTAACATCAGTGTTCGTTTTGGGACAATACTAACCATCGAAAGTGGAACTACGGCAGGAAGGAGACAGCCTGTATGTTCTCTGATAACTTTGATACCATCTGATGATCTGATAGCTTATGATTAGCTATCGGAGGTACTTAACTAGCTAATAATTAATATAGATTAGTGTCATCCTCAAGCTCGGGACCAGAGGCCTGGGAGTTTGAGGGTTCTGTGCAGTATCTTAGCTGTTCCTAGGACTGCGCTCTTCTGGACTGAGGCTTCTGATGTTGTTCCTGGGATCTGTTGGAGCCACTCCCCCAGTTTGGGGGTCACTGCCCCGAGTGCTCCTACTACCACGGGGATCACGCTCGCCTTGACCTTCCACATCTGCTCCAGCTGTTCTTTCAACCCTTGGTACTTTTCAGCCTTTTCGTGTTCCTTCTTTCTGATGTTGGCGTCTGCTGGTATGGCCACATCTATCACCACCGCCTTCTTCTGCTCCTTGTATATATATAATGTAAGAGAACAGCTCAACTTGCTATAGAACATAGTTTATACACTGTTTATTGATTATATATTATAGATTATAGATTTAATGTTGGGGTTAAATATAATAAATAAAGAATATTTAGGTTTATCATAATATATATTACACTACAACAACATAAAGTCAATAACTCGGCCAACAGGGCGCCGGCTGAACGTCGGCACGCTCAGAGGAGTTCTGGCACTTGCCGCCCAGCATGGACAGATTAACCTGTTAAGGGGCCCCCGAAGTAAAAATTGTGTTGTTTGGCCTCAATTATAACTGAAATAACTGTGGTCTTAAAGCTATGCATCGACACGGGGCCCCTCTACAGGACAGGGCCACAGGATTAAGTAGTGATCCAGGACCTGTCTCAGTCGATATTGTACTTCAATGGTGCAAATTCCTAAACAAATGTGCAGTTAATCAAATTATGTACAACCAACTGACACACACTGAACCTGGGGCTTTGGGGGGGCCCCCTCTGGGTCTGGGGCCCCGGGGCAGCTGGTGATCCAGCCTTGCCGGGATATTTAAGGCTGATAGGTTTGTGTCTGTGTTTGTGTTGGTACCCAGAGTTGGATGGCTCTCATTCTTTTATATTTTATAGATTTTATTTATTGGACGGGGTCCTGAACCAGAGTCAGGCCGTGTTACTGCAGGAACTGGACCCTCTGGAACCAGGTTCTTCTCATGTAAACCAGGACCTGCTGTGTACACGTGATGAAAACAGGTTTGATCGTAGGAACTCGTCCTGAAAGAGTCTGTAGAAAGCACAGATTTTTATTTTGAAGGATGCGTTGTGTGTTTCACACTGAGGTCGGGTTGGAGGTCATCGCTGGAGGAACAGCAGACATTTTATTCTGTGCACTGAACCTGCTGCTCTTCTTTTGGCTTTACTTCCTGTTTACTGACGGCGAGTACACAAGAGAAACCTCTGAAGGATTCACATATAAATATATAAATATATAAATGCATCGTTTCATCAAAAGAGTTTAAAAATTACATTTTATGGGCTAAAGAAACACTGACAATCCTACACTTAGTACTAATGTCTATAATATAATACAATATAATACAATATAATATAATATAATATAATATAATAAAATGTAATATAATATAATATAATATACTATACTATAATATAATATAATGTAATACAATATAATATAATATAATATACTATAATATAATATAATATAATGTAATATAATATAATATAATATAATATACTATAATATAATATAATATACTATACTATAATATAATATAATACAATATAATATAATATAATGTAATATAATATAATATAATATAATATAATGTAATATAATATACTATAATATAATATAATATAATATAATACAATATAATATAATATAATATAATATAATATAATATAGTATAATATAATATAATATACTATACTATACTATACTATAATATAATATACTATAATATAATGTAATATAATGTAATATAATATAATATAGTATAATATAATATAATATAATATACTATACTATAATATAATATAATATAATACAATATAATATAATGTAATATAATATAATATAGTATAATATAATATAATATAATATAATATAATATAATACAATATAATATAATATAATATACTATAATATAATATAATATAATATAATATAATGTAATATAATGTAATATAATATAATATAATGTAATATAATATAATATAATATAATACAATGTAATATAATATAATATAATTTAGTATAATATATAGCTCTAGATACAACAGACAGAAAATACACATTAAATAAAAGATATAAATTAAAAATAGTAGTAATATGTAAACTATATACAGTGTTTGTATACAGATGAGGTTGCAGCAGCAGAACAGTGTAATTTAAAGGTAATATAATTTAATTATAGGAGTATAAATATGATCACATCTCAGAATGTGAATGAAAAACATTCTTTTTCAGTTTCTAGAGATTTTATTTTTGTGAAATAGAAAATAAAAATAAAACAAAGAGCAAAAGAAAATACTTTATTTATATTTGTTGTTTTTAAAAGAAAAGAAAATAGAATCATTTAAAGATACACTGTTCAATAAACCAACGGGTCCCAAACTTTTCTGTGCTGGGCCCCAATATAGCATTAGCTTATAGCCGGGGCCCCAATATAGCATTAGCTTCTAGCCGGGGCCCCAATATAGCATTATCTTATAGCCGGGGCCCCAATATAGCATTAGCTTATAGCTGGCCCCAATATAGCATTATCTTATAGCCGGGGCCCCAATATAGCATTAGCTTATAGCCGTGGCCCCAATATAGCATTATCTTATAGCCGGGGCCCCAATATAGCATTAGCTTATAGCCGGGGCCCCAATATAGCATTAGCTTATAGCCTGGGGCCCCAATATAGCATTAGCTTATAGCCGGGGCCCCAATATAGAAATAGAAACTGTGCAGTTCTTAGGACAGTAAAAACAATGATATGTTGCTATGACGATGGGGTATTGTTTACAAATAACAGAATAAAATAAATTAAAAATGTTATTTAATGTAATTTATTTATTATTAGCGTCTCGTTGTCCCGACTGTCCGTTTTCTCTTTCTGCGAGGAAGCAACTTCACATCTAATACATCGCAGACAGCAAGAAGTTCGGGTCAGGGGTCCCACAAGAGGGGGCGGAGCCTGTTCGGAACCAACGTCTCCACTAAAAAACAAACAAACACTAAATGTAACAAACAGCTCGGTGTGCTCCTGGCGGCCTCCTCCCGCTCGCTCATCCAGACCTCTAAATATTTTATTAAACAGCTTCATGAAACATGAACGCGGGCGGTTACACAGCGGCTCTCACGGATATCATGGCGGGAAAAAAAAAAAAAAAAAAAAAAGCAGTGAAGGTTGAAACATGTGAAAAAAAGCCAGAAGTGAAACTGATGCTGCACCGATCCACCGATCCACCGATCCGGATCCGCGGTTTGCAGCGCGCCGACCGAGCTCCCGGTTTGAACTGACGGACGTCCTCAGCAGCCAATCAGCGCTCTCCCTGCGCCAAAGCTGTGTTTACTCCACTTAACGGACCAATCAGAGGCCGAGTGCGTCAGCCGAGCAGAATGTGGATGTGGGCTGCACGTTACCGGACCGCACTGCTCCCATCCCCCCCATCCCGAGCGAGCAATGGCGGCTGTCTTTCTCTCTCTGTGCCGCTTTGTCCTCCTCATGAGTTCTAAGTTCAAACCTCGGTAAGATAAAAATACCTGTTTGCCCTTCATGAGAATGCTGTCCGCTCATGAGCACATTTATATCCGCACTTTCTCATCGCATGTTGTTGTGTCGCACTGCTTTTACCTCCCTCCCTCCTCCTCCTCCTCCTCTTCCTCCTCCACTCTACCTCTTTTAACAATGGAGGGATGGAGGAAGTGAGGCCACTTGTACCCGCTTCACTTTGCACATACACTTATTATTACACCAGTCCTCTCTGAGCACAGGGGCGACCTTGGGGGGGGGGGGGTGATAGAGAGAGAGAGAGAGAGAGAGGAGGGGGGGACGTTATGTAAAATAAATAAATAAATAAGCGTCAAGTGCGCACTTCCACAGATGAGTGAGGGAGTTTCAAAAAAAACATGGACGCCGGGAAGGAGGAAGAAAGGGGGCGGGGCCGCAAGCGAGAGATGAAAAGATGGCGGCCGCTGTACATTTACATCCTCCTGAGGGTTTTAATGTGATCGATAGTCGGCTGAAGAGGCGTCAGTGAGGTCGTAACGAGCGTTAACCGACTAACAGTGCCGGTGGCGTCGACATTTTGCCTCCCCCCTTAAAGATAACACACACTCTTATTCCCTCGTCGCGTCGGTGGGCGGGAAAACTGCTCTGTAGTGACTCGAGCACACGAACATCAATCAATCAAAGTGTGTCATCAACCGGAGCGGGGGTCTGCTCGGTGTGTTTGTGTTGTATTTCGGTGTAAACTTGATGTTCCCGGTGTCCCGGTGTCGGCCCGGCGCTCGGCGGCGGACTCACCCGGGTTTATTCGGCTTTTATCGGCTCTGCTTTTTGTTTTTGTCGGGAGAAAGGGCAGCGCGCGGCGGGCAGGAGGGGGCGTGGCCTCCGGGTTTAGTAATTCTACCCATTGTTCCACTCCAACGCGCGCGGAGAACACCTCTGTGGAGCGCTGCAGCCAATCAGCGGCCGCCGAACGTCCCCCCGGCCCCGCCCACCAGCCTATATTAAAGCCCCGGCCGTCAGCAGCGCTGGCCACTGGCACAATATAAAGTGATCGATCCACCAACCGAGGAGCGGGATTTACTTTATTCAACCTTTCTGTTCCAGCCGTCCTTTATTTTATTGACCTAAAACAATGGCAGACACACAAGTTGACTCCGGCTCGGATATCTCTGCCAAGGTAAGCCCCCTCTCACCTTCCCGCGGACCCCCCCCTCCTCCAGCACAATGAACCGTTTCCAGACTCTAACCTTCATTTTTATTTTAAAGCCCGTTCGGTCGGTTCGCGCTCACCCGGACTCTGAAGGTCCAGAGAGACAGCCGGTGTTAGTGTTTGTGTGTAAACTCTGTAAATGAGGTAGAATGGAGCGGGGGGGGGGCTCGGCTCTCGGCTCTCGGCTCTCGGCTCCGCATCATGGAAATCGGCTGCGTTCACAGTCCGTGTCTCATTGTCCGGAGAGGAACAGTCTGCGCGGGTTCTTTGTTTATACAAGCGGGCTCGGTTCTCCCCGGAGCCCCCGGAGCACCGGACCCGGGGGGACCCGGGGCTCCGGAGCTCCGACGCGCAGTGTTTGGGCAGCTTTTTACGCGCGCGGCTCGCGCTGCTGCACGGTTCTTTCTTCCATCTATCAGGACGCCTAATGCGAATTAATGCCGACCCGGTCCCGGTGTGCAGGAGAGTCTCCCGGTGGTTTTATTAATAGAGCGATAAGGAGCTGCTGGGGCTCAGCGGCCGAGGACTAAATGGGATTTTCGGAGGCTCTCCAGGCTCCAGCTGGGGGGGTGGAGGGTGAAGTTGGTCCGTTTGAATGGACGCACTGGCGGCCGCTGCGTAACGGAGCTCTCCGGTTCCAGCGGGGCTGTACCGGCGGAGGGAGCGGGTCTCTGTGTGTGTGTGTGGAGGCCCGGCTGCACCGTCCGACCCCCGGTTTGTTTACCGACTCTCTGGAAGGTCGGCTGCTGTCGGTTCAGCCTCCGTTCAACCGGAGACTCTGCTGCGTCTCGCGGCTTCCGCTTCTTCTTCTGCGTTTGGAGCATGTTCGCGGGGCGCGTGAATCTCTCAGGGGAAAAGTTTTTCTTTCTTTTTCTGTGATGCAGCCCACTTCCCCGTGCGCGCGCGTGTGTGTGTGTGTGTGTGTGGAGGTGTGATGTGACGGTGCTGGTTTTTTCCGCCTTTGTGCGACCCTGTTCGGCTCTCTCTGCTCCGGTCTCACCGTCTCTGTGCTCCGGTCTCACCGTCTCTCTGCTCCGGTCTCACCGTCTCTGTGCTCCGGTCTCACCGTCTCTGTGCGGCTGTTAATGTTGATTTCCGCTGGTGGACTTTGGATCAGATCGGGTGAAACTTTAACAGCCCCCGCCGCGGTGGGGGAGTCGGCTGTCCGCGGTGGGGGAGTCGGCTGTCCGCGGTGGGGGAGTCGGCTGTCCGCGGTGGGGGAGAGCAGGAGCCGTTTGGATGAGAGGAGCAGAATAATTGTGAGTGATTAAAGGAGGACATATGGAGGGTGAGGAGGGTGAGGAGTTGGGGGTCCTGGTGCTGCCGCTGAGGGTCCGGGTCTCCGTTCAGACTCTATTTATAGCCGTGGAGCGTTTTTACGCGCAGTGAGTGCGCGCAGCCGAACCGGAGCTCGGCTACCGGAGAGGATGCTCGGTAAACAGCTTAATGGATTTCAACCAATCAGATTATGTAAAGCAGTGAATCAATAACAGTGTGTCGGTGCACGGGGGGGGGGGACTCTGAACCGGAGCGCTGTTAACAGGCTGCGGCCGGTTTTCCGGTAAAAACCCCGGAGGTGTTTGTGACAGGGTGCGCGCGGACTCTTCTACCCGCTCTGCTCGGCGGCCATGTGTCGGTTTCTATTGTCCTTCCCAGCCTCCGTTACGGCCAGCAGCAGCAGCAGCAGCGTGCACCGCGCTCTCCGCCGCCTCCTCCATCACCCCCCCTCTCTCTCTCCCCCTCCCCTCCTCCCCTCTCCTCCCTCCCTCCCCTCCTGCGCCCTCCCGTGTTATTTTAAACGGAGCGGTGCATCCTGGGTATTGCAGTGCCTCTCCCGGGCGTGTCTCGTGACATATGGCTGCGACGCAGACCACGGAAGACTACAATACCCAGAGTGCCCTGGGGGCCACATCAAAGTATCAGATTACAACACATTAGAGGGGCTGGAGTGGGAGGAGGATGGGGGAGGGAGGGGGAGTCTGCAGAGACCAATATGGTGTTTAAATAGGAAGGCTTCATTTTGACAGGGAGAGGGCTGAAAAAGCTCCCAGAATGCACTGGGGCTGGTCTAACTAGGCCATTAGGTAGAAGGGCAGGTAGCACAAGTTTCTATATTTATAGTTTTTCTGGTTTTTAACAAGTTTTTTTCTCCTGTTTGTTTCATCAGGACCTGAAAGAGAAGAAGCTGGTGGAGGAGAAGGAGAACGGTAAAGATGCCGCCACCAACGGGAAGGTAACCGCCGCCGCCGCTCGACACAGGGCGCTCTTCCTCGCAACTTTTTATAAAGTTTTCTAACCGCGCTGCTCCGCAAAGTCAGCCGCTCTAAAGCTTTTCTTTGGCGTTTCCAGGAGAACGAGGAGAACGGCGAGCCCGACGTAGACGACGAAGAGGACGAGGAGGTGGATGAGGAGGACGAGGAAGATGACGGAGAAGGTAGCTGATGCTAAATTATTTTAAGTGTTAATAATGTTTCCTAATTTTTACCCCAAAAAACTCAAAAACTCTTCTCGACTTCGCAGGCGAAGAGGAAGACGAGGAGGACGATGACGACGACATCGAAGGCGGCACAAAACGGGCAGCTGAGGACGACGACGAAGACGACGAGGTGAGACGGCGCGAAGAATCCGAGAAACCCGTTCACGATCTCTCCATCCAACTCACTAACCCTCTCCTCTTCCTCTTCCTCTTCCTCGCAGGACGACGTCGAAACCAAGAAGCAGAAAACCGACGACGACGATTGATGTGTTTCCCCCCCGCCGGCGCCATCCTGCTGAACCACTTCCTGATTCTTCACCTGTGACTGTTTTTGTATGTCGCAGGTGGAGGAGCTGGAGGACTGATTTAAAGGAAAAAAATAAAAATAATAATAAAAAAATAAACATGGTCATTAGCAAGTAGAGTTCAACAAACATCGACCACACTCGCCCTCGATCTCCCCTCCAACTGATAACAAATTTTCTAGAGGAACTCGCCACCACATCGACGCAGAAATCCGGCTTCAACAACAATAACAAACAACAACAAACAACAACAACAAAGGAGAATTTGTTTGTATTTTTATTTACATTTTATATTTTTGTACATATTGTTAAGGGGGGGGGTCAGTTTCTCTCCCGGCAGCGATCTCGTCAGACCAAATCGGTGCTTCTTTAACGAAAGATTTTACTTGGTTGACCGTGTCAGGATCTGTCCGCAGATACAACGTGTAAAAACAGTCAAAGACCTTTTAAAGCCGTTGAACTCAGAGCATTCCAGTAAATTTAATGTATGTACTTTAGCTGTACCATAACTAGTTTGTTTGTATGGGAGGGTAAGGCCAAAGAAAAGAGCCTCTTTTCTTTTTCCTGTTTTATTTTCTTTGTTTTTGTCAGCGACTTTTGGTTTTATGACGGCCTGTTTTGATGTATGTGCGAAGTTTGTTGTTTGACAATAAACCGGACTTTTATTTTGTGAGTTGTACTTTTGCATCTCTGCTTGTTTTCTTCCTGTCCTCACGGTGGCGGCCGGACGGCGAGAAGGTGGAGGTGAACCCGCCGGCGGTCTTTAACGAGGGTTAAAGGTCATACTGTAAACAGCGACTGAATAAAAGAAGTAAACAAACAGAACTTTACTTTAATCAGTTACAGGATATTAGTTAATTTAAGTCCCGTTGACTCTTTTTCTTTAAGTTGAATTGAATACTATTACAAAAATATAAACCCCAAAATGAATCAGCGGACATTTAGACACACACTCAACAAATAAACAACAGTTTGCCTCAATCTTTGTGAGTTATGGTAACGATATTCAATAAATGAACTAATTGAGTTAAAGGCATCAACTTTTCCTCAACAATCAAATATTGTGTTTATTTACTGTTTAATAATTTGTAGCATAAACAAACTTGTTCTCACATTATTTATCTCAACACAACACAATGAAATAATGTTTCAATGAATTAGAGGTTTTATTATTTATTTAAGTCAACTGCTTCAAAAGGTAATGTAATAAGTTACTTTGTACAAATAAAATGTATTTAAGTTAATCAGATAAATTCTATAAAAACACATTTTAAACGAGAATGTAACTTATTAGTTTTAAATACAATTAATTTATCTTCCTGTAACAAATATTTATAATAAATGTAGAGTTAAACTAACTCAGTGAACGTCACTGTTAGAAAGTAACTAAATACATTTACTCGAGTACTATACTTAAGTACGATTACATTTACTTTCAGCTACAGTTTTTAACATTTTATATATAAAATACATAGAAAGTCTCTAAAGTTTGAGGTTTTTATGTTTGGATGTTATATCGACCCCGTTCCCTCGTCACTCCTACGTCATTCTATAAACTTTATTTAAGAAGATAAAGTATATGTTTTATATATTAATGTTTGAGTTGCACTAGAATTATCACATTATGTAATTCTGCATTAGATCAAGTAGGTTTGCTCTAACAATGGACAAAAAGAATCTGTATATATTATATTATATTATATAATGTTATATTACAATATATTATATTATATTATATTATATTATATAATGTTATATTACAATATATTGTATTGTATTATATTATGTAATTAGATTATATTATATTATATCATGTTATATTATATTATATTATATTATGTTATATTATATTATATTATGTTACATTATATTTCATTTTTATATTATATTATATTATATTACATAATTTATATTACAATTACATTACATTATATTATGTTATATTACATTATATTAGATTATGTTATATTATATTATATTATATTATATTATATTATATTATATTATATTATATTATATTATATTATGTCATATTATGTTATGTTATATTATATTACATTATATTATATTATATAATGTTATATTATATTATATTATATTATATATATATAATGTTATATTACAATATATTGTATTTGTATTATATTATGTTATATTACAATATATTATATTATGTTATATTATATTATGTCATATTTTTATTACAATATATTGTTATGTTATATTATATTACATTATATTATATTATGTTATATAATATTGCGTTATGTTATATTATATTATATTACATTATGTTATATTATATTATGCTATATTATATAATGTTATATTATATTATCTTATATAATGTTATATTACAATATATTATCATATGTTATATTATATTATATTACATTTTTATATTATATTATATTATATTATATTATGTTATATTATATTATATCATATTATATTATGTTACATTACAATATATTATATTACATTGTATTATATTATATTATATAATGTAATATGTTATATTACATGATATTATCATATGTTATATTATATTATATTATGTTATATTATATTATATTATGTTATATTATATTGTATTATATTATATCATATGTTATATTACATTATGTTATATTATGTTATATTATATTATATTATATTATATTATATTGCGTAATTTTATATTACAATATATTATATTGTATTGTATTATATTATGTTATATTTACAATATATTATATTATATTATATAATGTTATATTATATTATGTTATGTTAAATATATTATATTATATTATATTATATTATATTATGTTATATTATATTGCATTATGTTATATTATATTATATAATGTTATATTACAATATATTGTATTGTATTATATTATATTATATTATATAAAATGTGTAATCTTGTGCACACTGTTTGTGTCTTTGACAGATACAAATATGATGTTGTGCATTAATTCCAGTCAGATTTTAGTATTATAATATGTTGTATTTTTATTCTGGAGTCTGATTATAAAGCTAGTGGGTCACAGGGGCGGATCTAGAGGGGTGGGATCGGGTGGCAGCTGCCCCTAAAACCTGCCTGGTGTCAAATTAAACACATTAATTTAAGTAATTAAACAAAGAATATTGTTTTAATAATGGATATATCACATTTAGTAATTCTGGTCGAGACAGACGACCACCCACCTAGAGCCGGAGGATCTGTCCTAGGTTTCTGCCTTTTAACAGGCAGTGTTTCCTTGCCCTTGTCTCCAAGGTCTTGCTCATGGTGGTACTGTTGGGTCTCTGTAATTAATGTTATAAAGAGTTCGGTCTAGACCTGCTCTATTTGAAAAGTGTCCTGAGATAACTTCTGTTATGAATTGGCGCTATACAAATAAAATTGAACTGGACTGAATTTACTTTTAAAGTTTTATTACATTTATTCAATCACATTTTAAAGTTACAGTTTAAATATTCCATTAGTAACGACATCAGCTGAACGCAGGACTTTAACTTGTAATGGAGTACTTTTACTCTGCTGTACGGGTACTTGTAATGGAGTACTACAGTTAAAGGTTAACAGGCGTCTAATGAACCCGCTGGTGGAAGTTTATTGATCAGCGAGGAACGAAGGCGACAACCGTTAGATACGTTCCGGCTAACATTAGCTCTCTGGCTAACGTTAGCTCTCTCTGTTGCAGAGTCGTGAGGTTCGTCCTATTTCCTGGAGCAGTGAACAACGTTTCCATTGCGACATTATGGGATGGTAATGATTCTTCCAGGTATTAGGAAGGGCCTCAGGTGTTACCATGGAAACAGAGTAACGCTTGTAAGAAGCTTTATATTGTGCATGAATAAATGAACGATCTTTGGCAGGTGGCCGCGGTACTAACGGACTCGGGTCGGGGAAATAAAGCTTCCTGTTAGAAACCCTGAGGAACTCCTGGAAATGGAAACGTAGAAATACTGTGTCGCTCATTTAAAGTCAACAGTTCGGTTACCGCACTGTTTCCAGGCCACTTTATCCTTCACAGGTTTTTAGGCCGCAACAATCCCAAAGAAAGCCCGTGAGATCCAGAACCTCCACCGGGTCGGATCCAGTCACATTCCCCTTGAAATCAATGAAACCAGGCTGTAGAGACACTACCACGTTTGTCCACAGGGGGCGCCAGAATCACCCCAAATTAAAGGCTCCCTGTGGGGGTTGAATGTATAATCCGAGCAGCTCCTTATAGTCGTGCAGGTCCACACAGTTTGGATCCAGAGCGCTGGCTGAGCGCTCCCTGCGAGCTGTTTACAGTCTGCAGCCCGCCGTCGGGATCCGGGACAAACATGACGGAGCCTGAACGAGCGCAGGACGATCTGATCTGTGTTCAGTCATGTTGCCGCAGCCTGCAGGGGAAGTGCAACACACAGGAATGTTAGAAACACTTCATTCCCACACACACACACACCCCCCACCCCACCACACACACACACACACACACACACACACACACACACACACACACACACACACACACACACACACACACACACACACACACACACACACACACAGGAAGAAAGTGTGTCACAGTGTTACAGGTGAGTCTGCTGCAGTGGGAACCAGGAGGAGAGAAATCTGCTCTTTATGTGGATTTCTGTAACATCTTCAAAGTTTTCACTCTTTTATATTTCAGCATTTTCATGTGAGTTCAGCAAACTTAGTATTTAAATATTTAAACTGTTTATTTCTGTTATTTATCATCAAATTAACAATATTTATATTGTCTATTTTATTTTTTTAGTGTTAATATTGCTTTCTTTTATTCTTATATTTATTTTTATCAAGAATATATTTTTATATATTATAATATTTGTTTGTATTATTCTTTGTTTGTTGGGTTTTTAATTTTATTTTTTTCTAAAAATGAAACAATATTTAAAAAATGTATTTTCCATAATTTAAAATATGTATATAAATATTTCTATTGAATGTATTTATTTTATTTATTATATATTGTATTATTCAAAATGTTTTTAAAACGTAGATTTCTTAGAAACATTATTTAGTTTATATTTTTAGTTAGATTTAAATTATAAAACCTTATTAATATTTAAATATTAATATTTTATTATCTAAACAACAAATATTTGACAGATTATAATTGTTTGTTTAATATAATAATGTTGTTATGCAGACACATTGAACATTGATCAAACTCTAAAAGGACATTTAATAATTGATACATGTTCAGAACAGCAGTAAACCCAGCAGGTCTAACTGGTCCCAGTTCAGTATTAAAGTGTAAGTTGAGCTTTAATAATCCTGATCCTGGGCTCAACGTTATGTTTCCCTTCAGTAAAAACAATAAAGCCCTTTAAGTGCAGGAGAACAATTATTGTACGTAGAAATCAGAACCTGAATTGGACCAATAAAATGTGTCCGTGCTCTAATTGAGCTCAACCTTTACAACAACACCTCACTCACCAACACCTTCGGTGCTCTTTATCTCACTGATGTGTTTACCTGGACAATCCTGAGTCTCTGATTGGCTCTGACGTTCCAACCAAACCAATGAAGGCAATGGACAGCAGCCAATCAGAGGCAGAGTAGCCTCAAAGCAAGCCCTGATAGAAAGTCATTGAGAGCTGCAGAATAAAAGGTAGTTCCTGTATTGATGTGCTTCCTGCTGCTGCATCGTGCTCAGGATCATCGTACACTAACTAACTCTCTGCTGAACGTTGGACAGTGTTTGACCCTCACTGTCTCTGTGGAGCTCACATTCAGAGATGAGTCCTGACACGACACCAGATCAACGCCGCGGGCGGAAAACACCAAGTCTGACCTGCGTGTAACAACATGGCTGCTGGGAGAAGGGGGCGCTGAGGGGGCTGCAGCCCACCTGAAATCTGCCATAATTATTAGTTATTAATTAGTTATTAATCAGTTATTAAAAATGTTAATGATGACTTTCTCTTGTCTTTACTTTATAGCAGGAACGAGGTTTTAAAAACAGCTGTTTTAAGGAAGTAAAACCTTTATTTCCACCATCAGTGAGACTCTGATTCTCTTCAGTCTACAGACACAATCTGCTCACATTGACTCAGTAACATCATTAACTAACCTGTGAGGAAGAGTTGGACACAGACACACTCACTGACTGTCTGTCATTAACTAACCTGTGAGGAAGAGTTGGACACAGACACACTCACTGACTGTCTGTCATTAACTAACCTGTGAGGAAGAGTTGGACACAGACACACTCACTGACTGTCTGTCATTAACTAACCTGTGAGGAAGAGTTGGACACACACACACTCACTGACTGTCTGAACTAACCTGTGAGGAAGAGTTGGACACAAACACACACCAACTTTCTGTCATTAACTAACCTGTGAGGAAGAGTTGGACACAGACACACTCACTGACTGTCTGTCATTAACTAACCTGTGAGGAAGAGTTGGACACACACACACTCACTGACTGTCTGTTATTATTCTTACAGTAGCTTCATACAGATTCCAGATATAAAAGGAGTGGATATGAAAAGTGTCCTGATATAAGTGAACATATTCAGCGTTTGGGTTCAAACTGTGGCGCCATGAAGATAAAACCATCAGTAGTTTTTCCATTGGAGACAATAAATGTGCCTCTCTTCCTGTCTGATAACTGTCTGCTGGTGCTGCACTGCCCCCATGTGTCCACACTCTGAGCTGCATGTTGGTTCCTCTGCAGCCTCTCTGACGCTCACATTATTACATTCTTCATCACAATAACTGGATCTTCTTCTTCTTTTTCAGGAAAATGTTAAATTGAATCACTATTTTGATTAAATGTGCTGTTTCTGTCTGATTTTAAAGACAATATTCAGATCCTTTAAAGGTACAGTGTGTAATTTAAGAGGTCTCTCTCATCAAAACAATAAGATAAAACATAAAACTATTAAAACCACAGTTCCACCTTAAAAATCCCTGCTTCTCCCACGCTGTTGGGCAAAAACATAAAACTATAACTCAGTCTGTTTACGTGTGAAGTGTTGTTGTGCCTTTTTCATTGAAAGTTTGTCTGTAAATCACTGTAAATAATAATAATTCACATTTATTTTAAATATATATTTTATTTTATGACTTTAATAGGATTAAATGATAGGAGTCGTATTACTGTATTTCACTGTTGGATTTGGTATTGGTTGGTTTATTTTATGTACTGTTGGGTTTATCAGTGTGAGGCACTGGTTCCCAACCTGGGGCTCCCGACCCCCACTAGAGGTCGCCAAAGCTCCAAATAAACAGTAGGCCTATATCTCCGTTTATGTGGAAGAAAACTACATGAAATAGTTTTATTATAGAAGATATAAACAGGACGAGGCCACGCTGAGAGCTGAACACAGTGTATATTATTATTATTATTATTATTATTGATCAGTGTACAGTGACAGAGCTTCAGTCTCTGATCAACAGCCTCGTCCTGCATCAGAAACCAATCAGCTGATCGATCAATGAGAATAAACAGTGAATCTGTCAGAAAGAAGAATATTAAGTCTGATTGTTAAAATGATAAAAAAAAACTGAATACAGACGGAGAATGGATCAATATATCATGAAAACTCATAATTAATAAGTAATTAATAAGTGAATGATCTGTTATGGTGACATTTTTTGACAAAGTGATCAATGAAATGAAGTTAAAATAATAAAAAAGCAGATATTTAAGAAAGATGCAACCTTTCAATGTTTCTATTGGCTGCTTCACTGATGTGTCACAGTAATGTTTTTGACTTCAAAGGTCCATTTGGGGCTTTTCCAAGCAAATACTGATGTGATTGTCATTAAATAGACAGTATGGAGAGGTGCTAGTTCCACCTCCTGTGCACTGCTGAGGTGCCGTTAAGCAAGGCACCCTAACCCCTAACTGCTCCCCGGGCGCCTGTGGCTGCTCACTGCTCCTGATGTGTATAGTAATGTATATAGGAAGGGTCAAAGGCAGAGGACAAGTTTCAGTTCATGTATGTAAAATGCTGTAAATGAGAATAAAGACACACACACACACACACACACACACACACACACACACACACACATACACACATTGATTGATAGTTTAAGATATTTGATTAACATGAAGACAGGAGGACATACTGACAGCAACATCTGTATTACACAACAAACACAACAAAAAAACGACAAAAAACAAACAATTAGAAGTAAATATTAAAAAAGAAACAAAGTAAAACCAGAATAAATAAATAAATAAAGACGAGTAGAAGTACAGATATCGTCAACTGGTCAGAGAAATTATTAATGATTGAGGTAATTGGGGGAAGAAAGAAAAAAAATAGAGAAATACTTCACGCCCACTTTCAATGTGTGACTTTCACACCCAATCCCTATAGAAATACCACACACACACACACACACACACACACACACACACACACACACAGACCATCAGGGGTCTAGACATCGCCCCGGCAACCAGGGGCTCACCTAGCAACAGCCAGTATCTTCACCCCCCCCCCCAATCTTATATGCACACACCTCTTTAGGGAGTGTGTGTGTGGCATCATCACTGTATTATAAATAAAGTTGCATCAGAAATGACAGGACAGAGAAATATTACACATTTTAAAACACACTCGTACAAAAATATAGAATAAGAAAATAAATCCCAGTTAGTCAACATGAAACTCAAACTCAGCTTGCTAATAACTCATGAACCATGAGGGATAAAAGAAACATTTTTGTACTGTGGGTCTCTTTGATGATGCCAATTTTTTGTTAAAGACGTTAAAACATAAAGCCACATTAGACGTTCTACTGACAATAACTTCACAATAATACTAACAGGACAGAGACAGGAGAGAAGTTGGTGCTGTATACATGCAGGTCAGAGGTCAGTGCTGCAGATACAAGGCAGTATCCCCCATCACTCTCTCTCTCTCTCTCTCTCTCTCTCTCACACACACACACACACACACACACACACACACACACACACACACACACACACACACACACACACATAAATATAGAATAAGAAACATGAAATTCAACATCCACAGACTTCAAAACCTTCAAATTAAAACAAAACAAACTATTATTATCTGAGTCAGTAGTGAAACTCCTGCAGACATCGATGGGTTTCAGACCCATGAAGAGTGACAAAATGATACATATTTAAAATGTATTTTACTTTAATTTAATTTATTCAATTATAGCATTTAGTTTTGCATAGATATACATTCATATTGTGCAATCCTTTTATAATTTAAATGTGAGATGTTTTACTTTGCAGATCCTGTTGTTGGTATAAGTCATTTATTAAAAGATTTATTATCTTTTATTACTAAATCTCACAGCAGTCACTACACCTTTTCTTCTCTTCTGTTCAGTGTAAAGTAAAAGTAGAACTGCAATGCTCTGAAAGTCTAGAAGTATTATCAGCAATATGAACTTTAAGTATCAAAAGTAATACTCATTATGCAAATAGGCTCCTTCCATAGTGTTATATTATTATATAATATTACATTATTCAGTTTTTATTACCAACAAATATGTGTAAGAACATTTTAATGTTCATCAATGTGGAGCCAGTTTTAGATATTCTGTAGATTAATGTTGAATGATATCATATAAACATGTTCTTTATGTAAAAAGTATCTATAATTATCAAATGATAGTTAACAGTAATGTAGTAGTGCAGAAGTATTAAGCAGAATAACATGGAAATACTAGTAAAGTATGCAGGTCAAACTTGTTCCTTCCAGTGTGTAGGATTTAGTGTCATCTAGTGGTGAAGTTGTAGATTGCAACCAAAAGTTGACAAAGACCACAACTCTCTGAGCACAATCTGGTGGTTTGTAGAAAGTATAAAAGCCCTTCAATAGTGGAACTGTAGCTCTATAACAGTATTTTATCAATGTTTTATAACTATTGATCCACTTCTGAGGACCTCACCAAATACATAAGGCAAAAATAAACTGGGCTGTTCTGTTCTTATCAGATTAAGTCTTTTATAAGGGGACAACATATTTCCAGTATCGGGACCTGAAAAGGGGCTTGCACTCACACTGCTTTCAAAGTAGTAAGTAAATCAAACACCCATTGCAAACTGTGAAGACCTGAGACCGGACCCAGAGACACAGGTCAAGGTGGGGGGCATTGGCTCACTGGTGTCTCTTGTGGAACCTCAGACTCAAACTTGTCTTGTATGTGAGTTGAGACAGCTGGGGGGAATCAACAGCAAGGTAATACCTAAAAAAACTTTTAATGTGCAGGCAAACAGGGCTAAAAGGGTGAATGTCCTACGACTGGTCCTCAGAACACATTGAACTAATCATTTCCCTCTGTTTTCCTCACTATTAACAATAATGATATCATTAATATTAATTGTATTTGTTAATATTATTTGACAATAACTGTCTTTCAGAGACAGTTAATAAAGATTGAGTTTATTTGACAATAACATCTAAGTTACAGAGGACAGACTAGATACAGGACAGATACACACAGTATAAAGAAACAATGGTGTGATGTTGTTTGATTGATGGGAATCTACACTGCACCAGCCTCTCACGGCCTTACTGAAAGGAAAGTTAGCCTACGTCAATGTAGCCAACAGTTACTGCATTTTTGAAAGTGGAGCTGGATGAGTTTTATTATTAGATATTCGTAAGTGGTTGAAAAGCCCACCAACAGTCTCCTCTGCCAAATCGGATACGACAGCGACGCCTCCTGATGTTGTCGTTGGAGAAGGAGACCCTGGACGACAGTCTGAGCCTGAGCCCGTTGCTAGTAGCTCCATGGAGCCCGACCCTGGGCCTGGCAGGACCTGCAGCAGCCACGGAGCAGAGGCTACCAGCAGGTCAAGTGCAACCGCGACTGGGGCAGTATTTGGGCCACAACTGCCTGTAGGATTTTTTTGGAGTAAGCAACATGTTGTCCAACTTAATGTCTTTGTCTCGAAGGACTTTTGACTGTAGCTGTGGGGATATAAGTCCTCCTAATGGAGGGGCAACATAAGTAAATATTGTAACTAAAATCATGTTAAAACTAAACTACAGTTAGTCAGTAAGTATATGAGTATTATAGCGAACTTCACTTGTGCACTACAATGTTCTCTGTTAGGGTTTTACTATTACAGTTTTTCTCGATTGTTTACATTTACTGAAAGCATGCCTCATACTCTCAGAACTCTACACACACACACACACACACACACACACACACACACACACACACACACACACACACACACACACACACACACACACACAATGGGTAAAACCCCTCAATTCTCCTGCAAAATGAAACTTTACATTCAAAACAATGTTATTTCTTCTCAAAATGGTATTTTGCTTTCTAATGACACACAAACCATCATATGAATAAACATTTATAAGAACCAGTTGAACACTGATGTGCTCAATGTAAAACACTGAATGGAAAACACTTCTTCTCCATTCATCATAATGACTTAGGCCTTTATTGTTCAGTTTTACACTACAGACAGTACATACATAAGTGTGCTGTAAAATATTTGAGAACATCGTTTTTATACTCAGAACACACAAATACACGGTAACAAATATATTTTATTTTTCCCACAAAAACAATGTACACAGTGAACATCCCAACCAACAGTAGGTTGCACATACAGTGGTCTACATACACACAAAAGAAGAATTTACTGGATACAGTTACAGTAAAATAAACTATGCTGCATCCTCTCTTCTGTTTGGGTCTGGCCACAGCACCTCATCCACATCACAAGCAATGTTTTCCCTGGCCAAGCAGCGGGGGAAATATCGCCTAGCATGGCGAATCCAGCCATGAAAAGCATCAACTGCTATATCTAACCCTAACCTGTTGCCCTTTATGCTAAAGCTCTGATTGCTCATTGTAACACTGTGTGACAGGTGTTTGCCCATGTGATGAGTCAGTGTGCATAGTAGGGCAATTAACTTTAGAATTTTGAATGACAGTGTGTTCCTGGTGAAAACAAGATATTTTCTTCATGAACATTGTACCAAATGCAGAGAATTGTGTGTAGTGTTTTGAAAGAAGTGTTTTAGAACTGCAAATTGAGTGTAAAGCAGGAATTGTGCTTGTGGTTTAGCAGAATTGGTTCAGGGGGTCGGTGCATGAGTTACATGTTGTGGTCATTGTGTCTCAAGTACCAGTATTTGTGTGTAAACGATTGAGAAAAACTGTAATATTACTATATGGGCTATTTATTTATTTTAAATAGCTACATTTGGGCCACCAACTTTAGGGGCTTAGTAGCCCATTGGACCAGTATGAAACTGGTATAAAAACAGGTCACAATAAATGAAACCCTTTATTGATTAAGTGAAATCTAACAGTAAAATCAATGCCTTTGTGTGAGGTTGAGTTATGAGTTATTCAGTGTCACCCAAACATGTTGTTATATGAAGGTTTTACCACTAATCTGTTCTGTTGAATGTTGTCTGTCTTCTCTGTGTCTGTGATTGACTGTTTTGAGCCGTAGGAGCAGGTAGTTGAAGCAGTGTGTTGTAGCAGCCACTAGAGGGGAGCATCGTACAGGTTTTAATCCTGACAGCAGCAGCACAGAGCATCTATTTCATCTAGTTTTTAAAATCTATTTCCATTGCACCCAGTTTACATTGTTCATATATTTTACGATGGGTTATCAGCTACCTGCTTATTTTAACATGTTTTATCTACTATTAACTTTATTTTGTTGAAGATTTGAAAACATGAAGACAATCTGAATCATTTGAATTCCTCCTGATGTGTATTGACTTACATTATATTGTCCTGTTGGGTAATACGATGGCCCCCACTGAAGGATGGAGAAATCATTCAATAATAATCAATAAATAAACAATCTGAGAGAAAAGATATAGCAGGAGACTGGGAGAGATGGTAATGAAAATATACATAATACACCTCACCCTCCTGGGCAGTGGCGGACTCAGAATATCTGAGGGGCAGGGGAGAACAAAAATAAAAAGGGCACCAGAAAGTCTTGATGCATGGGGAAACAGTTTCACACCGTTTTCTGGCATATTTTTCTTCCAATCCGTCCTCATATCTAAACGACAATGCAGTGACCCAGAACGACTTATAAGACCGGTGGAGAGTAGACCACTGATACCAGACATTGAGTGCTTCGCTAAAGTCAGGTGATGTTGGTTAGGTTAAGGCACAAAAACCACTTGGTTGAGGAAAAGATGGTGTTTGGGTTAAAATAAGTACGTTACATTACGTAACTCACGTGATGCAACTTAAAACTTTAAACAAGTCAAACGTGACTTTTGGTTTAAAATGGAACACAAACCCCCATCTCCTTTGAATCATCCATCCTCCCCGACCTCCTCCTCACAGACCCTCTCGCTCTTTATATTACTCCAATCATTCTTACTTCGGCCACTAGAGGACGCCACCCAACAATAAATGTAAATATGGGCCGTAATGACCTGCTTGACCTAAACAGGCACATTTCTGGTGAGGATGGGATGTTTTCTACCACAGGAGCATCTAAGAGGGCACTTTTCTGTGTTTTTTTTAAACCTGGGGGATCTGGGGGGGGCGACTGCAGCTCTCCTTCCTGCGACTGTCTGAAGCCAACATGTCGTTGTTGAACCTTCTGTATGTTGCATCAATCAACAATGAAAACTTTCCTCAAAACTATGATACATTTTCATACATTGGACTGGAGGCAACAATTGGTTTATCTGAAAATTAGTTTTGGGAAGTTGAGGGGTCTATAATGGGGAGGCACACAATGCATTGCACCCCAATACCCCACCCACCCCACATACTGAGAGAGGAGAGCTTCGACGTCACATTTCCTCCAGTGAAAGTGAAAGTTTGAGAGACTGCAGTGACACAGCAGAGCTGCAGTCGAGACCAGTCTCTCTGTGTTTCTCTCCGAAGAAGAATTCAGCTGAATCCATCAGGGTTTTCTCAACAGAACAGCAGAATCTGGTGAGTACATTGTCCTACACAGAGCTATGGAATAATGTATGGCCACTCAGTCCTTCTCTTTCTTCAGTTTAAAAGGTTCAGCCTCACTAAAAGGCTCTGAACACTGTTAGAAATGACTCAGCAGCTCCTCTTAGTGAGGAGCTTCAGAGAACTGGTACTTTGTTGTAGTAGTTGGAGGTGGAGTTTAAAGCAGTGTGTTGTAGCAGCCACTAGAGGGGAGCATCGTACAGGTTTTAATCCTGACAGCAGCAGCACAGAGCAAACTGATGAAGTCTTACTGAGGTGATGATCATTGGATTAAAGGTCAAAATAAAAACTCTAGAGTAATCTGACCTTTCCAGAAAAAGTGGAGTTTAAAACACAACAAAAAGTTACAATTTTACTCTGAATGAACTAAAAACATGGAAACATACTAACAAAATTATAATGTTATTAGTTCACCTGGTTGTGTCTAACTTTTTTGATCCTCTGACTGATTGTGTTTCTTCTTTTTAGTGATGTCACCTGATCTCAGATGTTAATTTGGTAAGTACAAAGTTATTATTACTGTTAGAAATGCTGAAGGGGATGCTGCTGACTAGAACAATGCACAATGTATATACTTTCATTTATAGTTTTATATTTTCTATTATATTTTATAATATTTTATTTTGTGATATTCTTTGCACTACTTTGCCCTATTCCTGCTGTGTCGACCTGAACTTCTCCTAAGGAGGCTCAATAAAGGAATATCTTATCTTATCTTATCTTATGAATCCAAGTCAAGTATTAACTCTCATTTAGCTCTATTTTTAGTCTGCATAGATAAACAATCATCTATGAGGCTCCATAAAGTCGATGGCTGCTGATTCAGTCTCTGAAGGTACATTCATATTGTCATATCATAAATTGTTATTATAAAAATATCCATAAAAGAATTAATGACAACTTAAAGTAAAGGTGTGAGGGTGTTTGGACATGATATTACCACATACATAAACAACAGACAGATAAATAACAGGTTGAACAGCAGAAGAGAAGTGAACTAACAAACTGTCGTCCATTTTGTCCAGTTCAGACTGAGCGATGGACTCTGAATCCAGCAGAACGATGGAGGTGGCAGCACTGGGCCGGCCTTTCAGCCTCGGGATGTTGTACGACTGCCGCAATGATTCACTCATCCCTGGTAAAGATTCACATTTAAAGAAACGTAATGCATCCGACCAAACCGTCAGTATTTAAAGTCATATTCAACAATGATAAAATCTCTGATCTTATTTCTTCTTTTTTATGACCCAGCTTATATCAGAGTTATGAAACCCTTTTTATCGCTGTAATTATTCACTGGTAGCTGTTTCCTGCAACACCAGGAGGTATTTTAAATTAAGATAATCCTTCATTAATCCCACAACACGTAAATGTGCTGTATTACAGAAACAAAAGGTAACAGGGACAATATCAGCAGCATCAATTCAAAACTTTATAAAATTAAAATTAAACAGACACGTTTGTGAAAGTTTGAAGAAACTTCTTTCTACCTAGAAACAATCCAAAATAACCTGCATCCAACAGTTTATTGGCCTGTTCCCAACTCACTGACTGCATCTGACTTATGTTAGTCTGTTTCTGGAGGCTGAACTTGAGTTTTACTTCCTTTGCAGGAATGACATTGTGGGATCGCAGTGATCTGAAAAAAGATATTGGAGAAAGACCACAGAACTATAATGACTTTGAGATAGTTGCATCAGAATCAATTGAGGACAAATCTTCAGCATTAAATGTTGAAGCATCACTGAAAGCAAGTTTCTGTAGTGGACTCATAGAGGTTGGTGGATCTGCCAAATACCTGAAAGATAGTAAGACTTCAAAAAATCAGGCCAGAGTAACACTGACGTACAAAGCTACCACAAAGTTTCAGGAACTGTCAATGGATCATCTTGGAAGAGGCAATGTGAAGCATCCGTATGTCTTTGATAAAGGATTAGCAACACATGTAGTCACAGCTGTTCTTTATGGGGCACAAGCCTTCTTTGTCTTTGACCGTGAGGTGTCTGAACAGGAAGACCATCAAGACATTGAGGGTAACTTGAAGGTGATGATCAAAAAGATTCCCAGCATTGTTATAGAAGGTGAAAGTTCACTGAAAATGGAAGACAAGGACAAAGCAAACGTTCAGAAATTCTCCTGCAGGTTCTATGGAGACTTTTCCATTCAGAAACCTCCTACAACCTTTCAGGATGCAGTACAAGTCTACCAAAGCCTGCCACAGTTGCTGGGAACCAACGGAGAAAACGCTGTACCAATGAAGGTCTGGCTGTTGCCACTGACAAGTTTAGATTCTTCTGCTGCGAAACTTGTCCGTCAGATAAGTATAAGACTAGTTCAGCAATCACAGAGTGTCCTGGAGGACTTCAGTGAGCTGGAAATGAGGTGTAATGATGCACTGAAAACCACCACTGCGCAGCAGTTCCCACAGATTGGCAAAAAACTTAAAACCTTTAAAGAGATGTGCTCTGAGTTCAAGCTGGAATTCCAACAAACCTTGGCAAAGAAACTTCCATCAATCCGAGGAGGAGGAGAAGAGGAGGCTGTGCTCGCAGAGATCCTGAAGAAGAGACATTCTTCTCCTTTCAACAGCAAAGACCTGAACGAGTGGATGGACTGTAAAGAGAGAGAAATTTACACTTTAAAGTCTTTCACCAATATAATGAAAAACACCAAGATTGTCCCGTCTCAAACAGACCTGTACAAGGAAAGTGTCAGTGTAGACCATTCAGTGTGTTTTGTTTTCACCTCACTGGGAAATGATGAACCGTTCCTCTCAGCTTTATCAGACTACTTAGAAGGAACAACCAAATCAGACAACCCTCAACATTCACATACTCATGATGTAGAGAAGGAACAATGGTATTCCTCAAAAGAAGTAGCAGATGCAATGAGAGATAAAGCAAAGCTCTTCAGTGACTTTGCAGAGGCCAACAAGGAGAACAAGAACATTAAGTTCTTGATAGTTGGTTCAACAAATGAGGCAGAGAAAGGTTCAAGCATCTACCTTTATAAAGACGGCTTTTCTGTAAGTGAGAACTTTGAGCCGCCTTCAAAGCCTGAAACAGTGACAGTCAGGGACATAAACCACAACAGTGTGACACTGAAGATTTCTCCACCCAGATTTGGAGCAGAGAACATCACCTCCTACTCTGTTGAGTACTGTGTCAGTGGAGAGGATGGATGGCAACAACAGACAGCATCAAAAGCTGAAGAAGTCACAGTGAGCGATCTGAGTCCTAACACAGAGCATATGTTCAGATGCAGAGCAGTGACCTCAGTAGGAGTTGGACCAGCCAGTGTAGTCAGTGGTTCCATTAAAACCTTACCTTGCAGCCCTCCTGGAAAACCTCAAGTTGAACCAAACTCAAGTGAGATATCAGTGAGCTGGGAGAAACCTGCTGAGCTTGGACAAGATGTCCAGATACAGAGCTATATCGTGGAGTACGCCAAAACAGACAACGGGATGAAAGAGGAAGATCTCCAATGGAACCAAATGATGTCGAAGGCTGAAAAGATGATCATTTCAGAGCTTCAGTCAGAGACAGAATATGTTGTCAGGGTCAGATGTGATTGTGGTGCAGCTGGAAGAAGCAAAGAAAGCATCTCTGTTAATGTCTGCACAACAACAATTACACATCTTGCAGAATTCCTCAGAAGTACAAGTGAAAGGTTAAATTCTGAATCACCTTCAGTTTACAAACTACTGCTAAAAGAAGAAGATATGGACATCGATGGATGCAGAAGATACAGTTTTGGCAAAGAAAGCACGAGGCAAACCCGAACAATAATGCTTTTTGGAGAGAGCGGATCAGGAAAGTCCACTCTGATCAATGGAATGATCAACTACATTGTTGGTGTAGAATGGAACGACAATTTCAGATTCAGATTAGTTGATGAGGATCAGTGGAGATCACAAGCTGAAAGCCAGACCTCTGAAGTCACAGTGTACAAAATCAACCACCAGGAGGGGTTTAAAATCCCCTTCTCTCTGACCATCGTGGACACACCAGGGTTTGGAGATACAAGAGGCATAAAACGACATGAGGAGATCATTGAACATCTGTGTAATCTCTTCTCTGCTGAGCTTGGTGTCAGTGAAGTTGATGCTGTGTGTTTTGTAACTCAGGCTGCTTCAGCACAACTCACACTATCACAGAAATATATGTGTGATTCAGTTCTCTCAATCTTTGATAAAGATGTGGCAGAAAACATCAGGGTTCTGGTGACATTCACAGACAGCCAGCGTCCACCAGTTCTACAGGCAATCAATGCTTCAGGTGTCCCATGTCCAAAAACAAAAGACGGGCTGCCAGTTCACTTCAAATACTATAATTCAGCTTTGTTTGCAGACAATAAATCAGCAGCAGCAGACAGCATGAGTGAGGATGAGGAAGATGAAGGCTTTGATCAGATGTGTTGGAACATGGGAACAAAAAGCCTGAAGAGGTTCTTTGTGGATTTGAATGTCACTGAGACCAAAAGTTTGACGATGACGAAGGACGTCCTCAGAGAAAGAGAGCAGCTCAAGGATTTAGCTGAAAAATTGCTGAATCAGGTCAAAATACAACCAGTATTCGAACATCCTTTAGATTTGTTACCGTCAGTGAAGGATGAATATGACCAAATAAAGATGTCGGCTCAGAGACTTAAAGAGAAATCACTGAACCCAAATCTTCTGTCAGTTCCAGAGTACATTGACATTATTATTGAGAGAGAGAAATCTGAGGCCAGACTTGGCTGGGAGGAACGAGTTCAATACTTTAGAAGAGTAAGAGAACAATGGAAAGATTATGATGATGTTCTCAGCTTCTGGATCAGGAGGATCAGGAGTTTTTTTTTGGCGATACCAGATGTCGGCAATATTGAGAAGATCTTGATAAAGATGATGATGATGACATCTTCATCATCATCTTTCTTGGAGGACATGATTAAGATCTTTTTTCGAAGAACATGATGAAGATGAAGATGATGAAGATGAAGATGAAGATGATGACGATTATGATGATGAAGATGAAGATGAGGATGAGGATGATGATGAAGATGATGATGAAGATGATGACGATTATGATGATGAAGATGATGATGAAGATTATGATAAAGATGATGAAGATTGTGATGATGATGAAGATGAAGATGATGAGGATGATGATGAAGATTATGATGACGACGACAACGATGATGATGATGATTATGATGATGAAGAAGATGATGAAGATGATGATGATGATGATGATGATGAAGATGAAGATAATGAAGATTATGATAAAGATGATGAAGATGAGGATGATGAAGATGATGATGGCGACGACGATGATGATGATGATTATGATGATATCATCTTATTGATGAGGAAGATCAGGAGGGTGATATCAAGGATATCATACTCACCATATAATAAAGATAGTGATGTCTGCGTGATTGAGAAGAAGATAATGATGATGATGATGAAGATGATGATGATGAAGAAGATGTTGGTATGATTAACTCTTCTTCAGGGATTGTTTCACTCTGTTGCTATTTATTTTCACACATGCTCAACCTATCAGGACCTATAGACTAATGAAGGGCTAGGGATTTGGTGCCTTGCTCAAAGGCACATTGTCAGTGCCCAGGAGGTGAACAGGAACCTCTCCAGCTACCAGTCCAAACTCTGTACCGACTGGTCCGTGCTGATAATGAACCAAAACCCTCTGGTTCCCAAGTAAAGTCCCCACGGACCAGTTCACAGTGATCACAGAGGGTTCGGGCTTTTTATGTCTTTATTTGATCGGACAATTGAAGAGAAACAGTGATTACAAAATCAACTAATCCAAGACTAACAAGAAATTCTCAAATATAAATGTGTCTGAGATAAAGAGAGAAAGTGCTCAGTTTTCTGTTGTACAAACATATTCCAGCAGGAATTATCTGCATGTGCTGTTTAAAGGAAAACACAGATTTACTGTGAGTTCTGATAAATGTTTAAATGTGACCACAGTTTGTGAACCATTAACTTCCTGACACCATTAACACCAATGTAAAGCTTTAAGTCTGCAGCTCTGTTAACTCAACAAACCTCAACACTGAAAATGTGATTTTATTTCCTATTATGATCATTTAAATATTATCTTTGCATTAAAGTTTTGGTTTTATTTTCTTTGAGGTTTAAACACATAGTTAATGTGAATGTTAATGACTTATTATACTGATGTGTTGAATTACATTTTATTGTCCTGTAGTAATAAGGTGGCTTCTACTGAATGATGGAGAGATGATGAACTGATAAACAATCAATCTAATCAGATATGTATATTAATAATGTTTCTGTCAGCAGTGTCACTATAACCTGTCCAACATCCAGTGATGAAGATAATAGACTCTGTTCAAATGGACGCTGGACTGTCTGGAACTTATTTTGTTTTTATCTTTAATCTTTAAATCTGTTTCCATTGCACCCAGTTTACATTGTTCATATATTTTACACTGGGTTATCAGCTTCCTGCTTATTTTAACATGTTTTATCTACTAGTAACTTTATTTTGTTGAAGGTTTGAAAACATGAAGACAATCTGAATCATTTGAATTCCTCCTGATGTGTATTGACTTACATTATATTGTCCTGTTGGGTAATACGATGGCCCCCACTGAAGGACGGAGAAATCATTCAATAACAATCAATAAATAAATGTTATAATTACAGTCTGTTGTCCTCTGATGTGTCAGTGCCAGTTTCTTTTTATTGTGCAGCTTTGTTTTCTCTTCCAGGACCTTTCAGCTCAGTCGTTACTGTAATGTACTAAAGTTCAGTTGTCAGGTGCTACTTTACTTGAATATTTACATTTTATGATCATTTATGTTTCTACTCCATTTCAGAGAGATATTTTGTACTTTTTACTTCACTACATTTACCTGACCTTAGTTAAAGGTTCATCCATTTAATCATCATTTATATCATCTGACGACCCCTCAGATTTATCTGGTGACCCTTTGGAGGGGCCCGACCCCTAGATTGGGAACCGCTAGACTAAACTAGTTAGCTGTAGTAGTTCAAACTTGCTCTTTTTATTTAAGTTCACAAATGTTTTTATGTCTCTATTTACAGAATTGTAACATTATGTAGGTTTCATTCTGTTTTTGGTGCTGCATTATTACTATTCAATATTTAATAGTTAATATATATCTATGGTTATATGTTCTGTGGACTATAATCCTCTTTAACAATTAATATAAGAGGAAGTAGAAGAATTTTGAATGTCCTTTCCTTTAAGAAAAGCAGCAATACTATAATGTGAACAATATTCTGTTGCAAGTATAAATCTAAAAATCAACAACTCAGAACACTGGTTGAAACTACCAAGCTGTGTCCAAAGTACATACAACTAGCAAATGACTGCAGGACACTAAAATATACAGAATATTACAGGAAAAAAATTGGTAACAGGTAAGAAGAAAAAAATAGTAAAAAGTCTCTCAGAGTTCAGTTTCAATTAGCAGTACTGAATATAAAAGCTGTTTTCTTACATTAGTTACAGTTGGAGCTAATCTGAGAGAAAAGATATTGCAGGAGACTGGGAGAGATGGTAATGAAACATAATACACATCACCCTCCTTGGCAGT